CCGAAACGTTTGAAGAAAATGCTGTTGGCAGTAAAAAATTGAGAACTCCTTCCAAAAGAAAGGCCTCAAAGAAATTGTCAGTAGAAGAGGAAGAACATTTAATTTTGGCTGTCCGACATAGAAGACCTCTGTGGGACATTAGTCAACCGGTGGACAAGAGATCCAAGAAAACCCGGAAACGACTCTGGGAAGAAGTTGCTGATGAATTGAATGGTAAATAAATAAATATATAATACAGTTGGATTAGTTGGATATGATAAAATCTGATTTTTCTAGGTGTACTCGACGCAATTGCTGTACAGCAGAAATTTAAATCATTACGCGATACATATCGCAAAATTGTCCAGTTGGAGCAGTACCTTCCAAGTGGATCTGGGAGGAATAAAAATGAGAACCGTCACAAGTGGAAGCACTATGACATAATGGAGTTTCTTCGTGATACTAGTCTATCGAAGAAGTAACTGATTTTTGTTATTATTATAAAGTAATGTTCCTGATGGCACAACACAATGGTGGAGATCAGTTTCAAGATCAAATACAAATTACAAATTCTGTTTGGCATGGACAACAAAGCTCTGGTAGTATAATGGTTCTGTTATTATTATTGCTATTATTTGGAAATTATTTAATAATAATAATAATAATAATAATCTAACTATTTTTATTTTTAATTTTTTTATTTATTATTTATTATTATTATTAAATTATTTTCCAACAATAGCAATAATGATAACAACCATTATACTATCCCAGCTACTGCATATGTTGTCCATGTCAAACAGATTTTGCACTTGATCTTGAGGCTAACTACTCGACCAAATTGTCCATTCTTTGTGCCAGGAACATCATTAGACAGTGATAAAATTACTGTAATTCCACAATTTGTTTCTGTAATTCCTACTTTGTTTATTTATTGTAGCACATCGAGTAATATTCCTAGCACAGAGAACGAGCTATTAAATAAATTGGTGGACCAGTCAACTTCTCAAGTACAAAGTCCGATTGGCATAGATCCAAATGACAGTAATAGCACAGAAAGTATGATCATTGTTTTATTATTATTATTTTTTATATCAACTGTATATAAAAATTTGTTTGCAGCGCCAACCTTATCAAGTACTTTTACGAGTGGAAAAAGGCGAAGACTCAATACCTATTCTTCTAGTGATAGCGATATATCAGTTGCTTTTACGAATCCGTTGGATAAACTAATCCAAATTTTTGAGAGACGGGAAAAGGCGCAAAATGTTGCATCACCAAATATAAATGATCCATTCGATGAGGTGGATCATATGCTACAAACAGCAGCATTACATTTGCGCAAAATGTCGCCTCAACTACAAATGCGAACTCTACAGGATATTGTCCAAATGACCTTCTCCAGACTACAGGAAGAAACAAATAATAATTAAATTTCTTTCAGCTGGATGTTTTAGAAGATTCCGACAACACATTTTCTATTTTTTTATACAAGCATAATTAGCTTTAAATATTAACAAAATAAATAAATTTATGGTTTAAATTTTTTTATCTTTTTATTTTTTTTCTTCAAAATATGGATGTAGTTGCGTATATTATGACGGTACACGTGTAATACAAATTTATATTTAAAAAGCAGTATAATGATAATTTTATTAATATACTATAAATAAGTATTATTGTAATAAGTGTCTCTATTTATGATTAATTAAATAACTTAATGCTTTTTTGCTTTTTATATATACAATTTTGATTGAATTAAAATGTCAAAAAAGTCAAGCATAATTGTCTCATTAAGCTACAAAAAAATTTTCAAAGTCTTTTTTTTTAAGATGTATAGCCATATTCAAATAATAACAGATTTTTAAAGCAAAATTTAACAATGTTTAAACAATTCTTTGGTATATCAACTATAAACTTGCGAAGTTATTTTAGACATACAATGATAGAAAAGACAAACAATTTAGACATACAATGATAGAACAAATATCAAATATAATATTTATTTATTCAGATTATTACCATTTCCAAACGTCATAGATTTTTATCAGTATTTTTCATTATTTTCCATAAATATTAACTGATTTTTAAATTTTATCACTTTATTTTTTCCTTGAGAAACTCTCAAATAAAGTTATACGATTATATTTAGCTTAGGCTGTACGGCCGAAACATCCTTAGAACAAATTATTTTTTTTTTTAATTAATTAATTTCATGCAAATCCATGATGATAATTTTAATTACTGCTATTGAAGATACTGCCAGGGTATAGCACCCTCGCCGTTGAAATAATCGCAAAATTCATTCCTGATGTTCATGGCATCTCGAGAAGAATTGTTAGTGCCACAATTACCAAGATCTCTCAAGGCATGACTGCTATCCATTTCCTTTCTCCAATTTCCAGGAATAAAACCACTAGGTTCATCGTGATCAATCATGTCCGCAGAAATATATTCGTTTTTGTCTAAATCCTGTTTTCGAAGCCAATTATGAATGCAAATAATGGCCTGGACAATTTGCATTGTATTTTTTACAGTAGCGTCAATAGGCTTTTTCAATATTCTCCATTGACTCACAAGAATTCCAAAAGTATTCTCGATTGTTCTACGAGCACGACTGAGGCGATAATTATAGATGTTTTTTTCGTGATTAAGTCCAAGTCCTCCTTTTCCTGGATATGGTCTTAGCAAAAAATCAGTTAACTGGAATGCTTCATCGGCAACAAGAACATATGGCATAGGATCACCATCGACCGTGAGTTTCTTAGGTTCTGGCAGTCCCATTTCTCTGTTATAAAATTTCTGACCCACAATAGAATCTCGGAAAATTCCACCATCACTACGCCTGCCATAAGCTCCGATGTCGACGAATGTAAACATGTAGTTGGCATCACATATCCCGAGCAGTACAATGTTGTGATAGTTCTTGTAGTTGTAATATAAAGAGCCAGGATTATGGGGACACTAAAACAAATGGAATTATATAGCTAGCTCGCTAGTTGCCACAATTAGATAATGTCATATAAAAGAAATACCTGAATAGCAACATGTTTGCCGTCAATTGCACCAATGCAGTGATTAAAATTCCAGCAATCTTTGAAACCTTGTGCGATATTGAGCCAATCTTCCTTACTTAATGGAAAAGGAAGC